CATTAGAACGTGGGTATGGTATCGCGTCTAATGTTACTCCTTTTAGCTCTGCAAGTTTGGCTCGAATTTCTTTACGAATATTTGCTTGGTTAGCTTGACGAGATGATATCTTATATAGTATATCTTTCGCGGTATAATAATAACCTCAGAAAAATTTTATTAAATTAATTAATTCTCCTTCTACCCGATAAATTTACTAGACACATGAGTTTAAGTTTATTTGGCTAATCAGATCTTTTGAAGTTATCGCTGAGAAAACTTAGCTTTTTTTTCGAATTTAGTGAAAAAAAAGGAATAAGTTAACAGGATTTAAGTCTATCTCGATTTTAAGCTTAAATTCTATATTGGATTTTAATATCTTTCCTGGTTTTGTAGTTTAATTCAGAGCTTAATAAAGATTTTAAAAATTTTGTATATCAGAAAAACATCCAGAAGCTTACAGATATATATAATTTACATTAGGAACAAATTAGTATTTCTAAGATTGCAGAGTTTCCAGCTAGGCAAGAAAGTAAAAAAGTGATTTTAATGAGCTGGAGGTGTGAGAAACAAAAAAAGAAAAGAAAGTAATATAGCAAGAAGGCATTGTGGGGGCTGTACACTTCTAGTAGGAAACGCACTTTCTCCCCTCCTTTAATATTATTAGTAATTAATGCTTTAAATAGTTCAGTTCAATCTAGATTATAGGCCAATTTAAAACTAAACTGAAAATTTTGGATTAATCTGAAATTTTAGATTGTTTAAAATGATCCTTTTATCATTCTTTTAGAATAATAATTTAATCGTTCCAATTGAACGATTTTCTTATTGTTCATTTAGAACGATAACTTCAATCATTCTAAATGAATGATTCTGTTATTATTTTTTTAGAATGATAATTTTATCATTCCAATCAAATGATTTTCTTATTGTTCATTTGAAATGATAATTTTATAATTCCAATTAAATGATTTTTTATCGTTCATTTAGAATGATAACTTCAATCATTTTAAATGAATGATTCTTTTATTATTTATTTGAAATGATAATTTTATCATTCCAATCAAACGATTTTCTTATCATTCATTTAAAATGATAACTTCAATCTTTTCAAATGAACGATTCTTTTATCATTCATTTAGAATGATAATTTAATCATTTTAATTGAACAATTCTTTTATCGTTCGTTTGGAACGATAATTTAATTATTTTAATCGAATGATAATTTAATTGTTCTAATTGAACGATAATTTTATTATTCTAATTGAATGATCCTTTTATCGTTTGTTTAGAATAATAATTTCATCATTATAAATGATCTGAAATTTTGGATTAATCCAAAATTTTTAATTCAGTTTAGATTAAATTTATAAGCTGAAAAAA